ACGAGTTTCACAATTTGAGTTGAATTACTGAAATAAATGAACTTTTCCATGACATTCTAATTTATTGAGATGCACCTTCCTATTATATACAATAGGAAGATTGTATATAATTCTTATTTTTATTTATTCATCTATTTTATTTTGTTTGTAAAGTTAATATTGTGAAATTATTTTATACAGTTCATTGAATTATTATTGTTATTAAGACTATTTCAAAGGATTAGTTCACCCAAAAATGAAAATTTGCTGAATATTTACTCACCGTCAGGCCATCCAGGATGTAGATGAGTTTGTTTCATCATAGGAACAGATTTGGAGAAATGTAGCATTACATCACTTGCTCACCAATGGATCCTCTGCAGTGAATGGGTGCCGTCAGAGTTCAAACAGCTGATAAAGACATCACAATAATCCACAAATAATCCACATGACTCCAGTCCACCAGTTAACGTTTTGTGAAGTGAAAAGCTGCATATTTGTAAGAAACAGCTCCATCAAATTTTTCCAAATCTGTTCCGATGAAGAAACAAACACATCTACATCTTGGATGGCCTGAGGGTAGGTACATTTTCATTTTTGGGTGAACCATTCCTTTAAACCTTGTTACTTTTTAGCTTTCCATGTAGCCTTTGAAACTGATAAGGTCTAAATTATTACAAATTTTCCTTTGCACAGTTAAGTCAACTATCTTCAGGATTGTAAGTCTCTCTCTCTCTCTCTTTAGTGTGTGCTGTTCCTGTGGACATTGAAGATCAACCATTCCAACACCCTCTTCCTCCTCAGAGGCAACCATGAGTGTCGGCACCTCACAGAATACTTCACCTTCAAACAGGAATGTGAGTGTTGTGGGAATGAAGCATCTAGGAGTGCTGAGAGCTAAGTGATGTGTTGGCTCAAACTGTCTGCCAGCCTTTTCCTCCGCTTTCACTGATGTTCTCTCTTTGATGTCTGAAAAGCTGAATTTTCAGCCAGCTGTCACCAGCTAGCACTTTCATTTACAGTGCAAACAGTATAACATTTCTCCTGCAGTTAAGTGTTCAAAATCGATTTGCCTTATTAGAGCGGACTCTATTTTGTAGTGTTTCTTAAAGTGTATTTACTTGATATAACTGGTGCAGATTTTTATACTGCGCCAACTGCTAGTGGTGACTATAACTTTCTTTTACTGCTTTGCCTATGGCTAAATGTCACATCAGTGGAGTTTTGTTGGAGTTGGAGGGTCAGTGTGGTCTCACTTATCTTGTTGCCTGAGAGAACCACTTTAGTGAAATAGTAATACTTGTTTAAATGAATTGAATAACTTGTTTTTCTTAAAGGGGTCATATGATGCGATTTCAATTTTTCCTTTCTCTTCGGAGTGTTACAAGCTCTTGGTGCATAAAGAAGATCTGTAAAGTTGCAAAGACTAAAGTCTCAAATCCAAAGAGATATTCTTTATAAAAGTTAAGAGTTAACCACGCCTACCTAAAACGCCTCGTTCTAACACGCCCCCACATATCTACCTCACTATGTGGGAAGATTTGCATAACGCCGCCCAAATGTTCACGCAAAGAAAGAAGGCGTAACTTTTATTCTCACTGTAGTATTGTTGCCGCTGCCGCCATGCCATGGAGACACTGTGTGCTTCGTTGTGAAAGCGAAACTACTTTGTTTGGTCTTCCAAAAGAGGACGATATCCACTTCGTCATGCCTAGAGCTGATCTGTGCTGGTCGCTGAGGGAATACATCAACTTAGTGCTGTGGATCGCTGGATCGGCTTTCACCGTGAACGAAGCGGAG